CAATTATATGCAAATACTGCAAATAATCTTCGGGTTGCTCATTATGATTGTCAACTAATGACTTCTAGCAAAATGTTCTCTCTAAATAAAGTAGCACCTTGCAAAGTCCAACCAGAAAATATTAAAGTAGCCCATGCTTATGTTACTCTATATCAGAGACATTATCGCACAAAAGTAAATGCGACAATGTGTCGAATCAAACACCAATCAATGCGTTGGTTCTGCGATTCTTTTGATTCGAGTGGTATCGACGCTCGACAAAATATGATCACTACAGATCTCCATTTATCTGCCGATCAATGTAAATCGGCCGCCGACAGAGGCTATCTGAACCTAGGCTATGCTAGTATTGGAAATATTCCTTTCAAATTTAATGTTAAAACAGTGACTAATGCCCATGCTGGCAAAGTTGACGGCAAACATCATAACGAATGTGATGGCCGTTCTTGGATTAAATTGGACACTTTTGAAACTTACATGCAAAATGTAACTCTGACTGTTAACCTCAAAGATGGAACAGTCAATAATTGGCAAAACAATCCTTTGCCCTGTCCAGTGTCTACAAATGGATGTGAAACAACATCCTTAGACGCTTTTGCTTATACTTGGGAAGAACCCAACAATTGCATTTTCACTGTTTTAAACAGATTTCCGGCTAAAATGATTCAAAACGAAGAATCATACTACATAATTAAAGGCGATTCTAGCCCATCTATTCATTCTACCCATACAAGGGATTCTCAAAAATTTATGCTACAGGTGATGAATAAACCGCAATCTCTTTGTGGTCATCCCAGAATAGTGTATCCAACTTCATATGATTCACTTTTTATTGCATACACTGACGGTTTCAATATGGATACTGGAATCCAAGTTAAACCAACCCCAGAAACGGGAACTATTCATAATGCCGGCCAACCAAATTCTACTTTTCTCACATTAAGTGATGATTCGCCGCCACTCCAATTTTCAAGTCATCAAATTGACTACGAAGCTCATATAGGTACCAAATTGGACTATATTCTTTTTTATAGCTTCTACATGCTCAGAACGGCCGAGTTAGCCCTTCTGCAAAATCAATGTGAGCTAGAACGCTCCTCAATATTAAATACTTTAATGCTTTCACTTGAAAGCCCCCGTTTGGCTGGCTATATTCTAACCAAAAACCGCTCTATGTTCTTAGAGACCAATGGCAATGTTGCCTGGCTCTACCATTGTCCGAAATTTTATTCACCTTTGCAATTAATGGATGAATGCTATAATCGCATTCCCATTATGTATAAGGAAAACATTCGATTTGTCGATCCAATTACGCGACAAACTTTTCAGTCGGCAGATCTACAAGACTGCTCCGACAAACATTCAAATCTCTTTCAACTAGATGTTGATGATGATAAGTCCTGGATTGAATTAACCCCTCAAATTACAAGGGTTACAGGACCATATCTCTTTGAACCAAAAGAGATAATTCAAAAGATTAAGCATTCTTTAGCCTCTAGCCAAGGCGCTTCAATCTACACTTATGCTCAAATGCAAAAATTCTGGAATATGATTTCCGATAATTCAGAGATGAAAGGAATACTGCAAAAAGTATCCAGGTCCTTTCTAAATGCTAAAAAAATTCTTTTCAAGGACTCATACAGCCCACTAGGCTCTTCCCGAACAATCTATTTGGACTATCTCATCTCTCCAAACTTTTGGAAAAACGAATACACCCGTATATTCGGCAAAGTACAATACTATTTAGAAAAATGCGGAATAGTCTTCGCCTCTTTTCTATTTGTGAAATTTATTCTAGATTGCCTAGTATTCATAATAAAAGCTATGCATATTCACAAAATCACCGGCCGCTCACTACACTTTGGCAAAGTATTACTTGCCGCTTCATATAATATACTTTTCACTTCCATAGTGACCTCAATTTTCACTCAAGATGAGGAAACTGAAAAAATAGAACAAGAATGTGATCAGAAAATACAAGCCCCTCTTTTAGAGGAAATTGACAAAATGAACCAGGATCGCATGTATCCTCACATCCAATTAACAAGTTTTGAGAGAAGAACTCAAAACTTGGATCACCCAATAAACCCAGTCTAATAAAAAAAATTTCTACTGTTCTAGGATATACCAACTGATTCAACTATGGACGCAACACTTGATGACGACTTGAGAGATTTCGAGGATCTCCTCTCACTTCTGCCACCAACCGATCAACTGGACTCGCAGATTTCAGCACTCAATCAACAACCAACTGTTTCTACTACTACAACACCCACTGCAAAGCCGACCTCAACACGATCCTTCGTTGAGCCACTACTTCAAACCAGTTCAGCTGTCCCGATAACTACAGCATCACAGCCACCACCCCTAAAAATTTCACCCCCTGATTTTAAAATACCCCTGGTTCCCTCGAATTCTAAAATTAAAAAACGGACCCAGATTGTAAGACCATATAAGATACTAACGGCAAATACGCCGGTATCAACTTCTCATTGTCCAATGACCATTAGGCGACAGCCCTTGCACCCCACTGAATTAAACACTAAATTACATATTCAGTTAGAAAGGGAACGATACATTAGTTCTAAAAGCAATCCTGGCTTCGATATGGATCTCAAATATGCTTTGAATCCATTAATCAATCGTTTTAAATTAGAAGCCTATCACCCTATAAAAAAAATGTATTCCATAAATAATTCCCCTCTTGAATATCAAAAAATCTATGTCCCAGCAAAATATCTGACAGCAAAATTACAAACCCCCCAGTTAGATGACTATACTGAGCAAATTCAGCGCAGTCATATACATGAAACACACCAAATCCGGGAGCTGAAAAAGCATATCCACAATTTAAAAACAAAAAATCAACAACTTATAGCCCGGTTGGAAGGAAAATTGTAAGAAATTTATCCTTTTATTTAAACATTTATTCTTTCGCTTTATATAGCTATGTAGTATAGCTATAAATTTCCTTTCAACAATCTTGACTTTTATAAAAAAAACAAAAAACACAAAAAAATACCCCCTTTGTATGAACCAGTCCTCCCCTTATTACGCGTTTGGACAGACTTCACATACTTCAGGAAGAAAAGGAGACCTCGGAAAAAGAATGTTTAAGGGATAAAACTAACCTTCAAACTTTTGAGAAACAGATAATTTTGATGTATTTAATTTTATAGTTAAATCCCTTGGTTGTGTAAACTCTATTTTGATTTATAAATGTAACTGATGTATTTATATTTATTCAAGCCTGACTCAAAGTATCAGTTGATTAAAAACATCTGCTACCTGTAATACCAATAAACTACTAACCAACTTTATGAGATTGAAAGAAAAAGCTTTTGTTCAAAAACATCTGCTACCCCTAATACCAACAAAACTTTATGAGATTGAAAGAAAAAGCTTCGATCGATCAACAATTACCCCACTATTCAAGTGGAAGTAATAAAAAAGAAAGTTTTAGTTTTTTTCCTCTCCAAATAGGAGGATGGATATGTTCTGATTTCAAATAGAAACAGAAACATGAATTATTTTATTGCGTTCACAAAATGTGACGCCGCCGCCACCACCAAAAGAAATATGCTTTTATTCCCTTGCAAAAGGAAGGGAAATGCTATTGGAATAATTCGTATAACGTTTTAAGCATTGAGAATTGAAACGACTATTCTCATTCAATACGAATAATAACGATTCCTCTCGTAAAGTACGAGCAAACGAAACCTTCTTCTCGTAAAATACGAATGTACGAATAAAGAATACGAAGTTAAAAGAAACTTCTCATTTGATACGAAAAGTGGCGTGATTTCCCAATCTGAGTATAAATAGAAGCTCAAAACTACGGGAATTCATTCCAATAACTTCTCTTCTACCACCACCACCACTCTCCTCAACCACCCCAACCCTTCTCTAAAATAATATTCAATCTCAGAGAAAAATATATCCAATCTCACCGTAAAAAGTAAATATTGAGTCAAAAGGCAACTTGCTGTAAATTCATACTAACTTCTTTTTCAATAAAATATTTCTCAGCGAATTTTAGATTTACTTTCTAAGATAGAAAGTAGAAAGGACCCTTTATTCCTAGCAAGCGTTTTGTCCGACGTCAATAGTTTTTGCTAGCGTAATAATTTAAAGCAGATTTTGAGCTCAAAATTATGCAATGAATCATAGAAAATTATCACTGTATATCAGATATTGGCTGAAATGTTATGTAACAAATCAAGAAAAAGGTCGATATTAATCAAATTTTGAGCTCAAAAATATGCAACCAAAATCAAAGAAAATAATCCGTATAAATCAAATTTTGGGCATAAAGCTATGTAACAAATCAAAAAAATTGTCAAAATAACAAAACAAATGAAATGACAATATGCGAAAGTATGAGATTTTTTTGAGCTGGAAAATATGCATTGAAACCATAGAAAATTATCATTTTATATTAGATATTGAGCTAAAACCTTTATAACAAATCAAATTTTCAGCTCAAAAATTGTTTGGAAGTTAAGATTGTTTTTCTTTCTTTTTCTGTCTAATATGACGTTCATTTGTTGCACTGATAATATCAATTTCCGACTCAACTGTCGTATTGTCGCATTCACAATCTGATGAAAAAATATTAATTTAAAACAAAAGGATATGAAGTCAGGTGGCACAAGTCATACAGCTGCTTAACAATCAAATTTTTCTGAAACCCCTTTTTTTAATTTCTACACGCCGTCGGGAATCTATTTTGCAATATTAGAAAAAATTTAAAGGTTATTTTTTGTTTCGCAGGTTTTTTTTCAGCTACCTGACTTTTCCTCCCACAGTTAGTCGAAAGCCTTATCAAATGTTTATGTCCTTAGCACTGTATCTTTCTGTAACATTAAGTTAAGTTTTTGTATCGTCCATATATGCAATCTCACAACGAATGGATTTACCCCTGGCATATCTGTAGTTTTCTTTTATTTCTGGTCAAAAATGTTTTACTTTTCGTGTTCAAATAAAATTTAATTTTTCAGAGTCGGAGTCTAAGAAGAACGCAAAGAGCAACCAACTGCAGCGATCGACGCGGATGAAGCTGATGAGCAACTTCAAGCGCCAGTTCTCCACCCAGACCCTCAAACTGCCCGCCTTCTACTGGCTCAATCTGGACCTCTTCCTCTTCTGGGCTTCGAACTTAGTGGGATTGATGTTTCTGCCCACTGAGATGAAGGCTAACGGATACGCACACTTGCAGGTAATAAAAAAGAGCAACAGTTACTCATAACTTTTCGCTGAATTTGTCAATTTTGTTGTTACGTGTTTCTTGGGATGTTTTAAAGTAATCGTAGCAAGGCATTTGTTTTCAGTGATGAAACTATGCTACACAATGACAACTCTTGGGAGTCTTGTAGATGATTTTTAGCCTACAATGAGCAGTTTTGATCGGTTGTTTGTTGAAGGCACTGAAAAGTTAGCAATGCTCCAAAAAATTCTGAACTTCGAAAGTTTTGCTCAAGATAATTGCTCATCGAGAAAAAGCTAAGGGATGCCCACACTCACCCATCCCCAGGGGCGGATCTAGGATTTTCTCGAGGGGGGGGGGGCGGATTTTCAAAAAATTTTCTAAAAATTTGACGACCTTTTTTTTTTTTAGGTCGACCAAATTGATTTTTTGAGCTCTCCCAAAGCACTGTTTTGCCCCTATATTGGCAAAATTTTAAATTTTCTGCGGCGCAGGCAAATTTTTGAAAAAACAGTCAAAAAAGCCGTTTTTGGGCACTTTTTGAAAAATTTGCCCATCCCATATGGTATTTATAAGTTGGTGTCCGTCACAAATGCAACGCCTAAGCGATACATGAAAACGATTAACCTTTCAGTTCCGATAGATACCCCTTTTCATTTACTATGGGAATGGGCGAGGGATTAACATCTTCTTGGATCCAGTAAAAAACTAATTTTTCTAAAGAGATCTACCGGAACTGACCCTGGCCTAGTGAAATTCGTTTGACCAATTTACTTGCATGTACTAAATGCACTGCAAACATCTACTTAGTTCTGTTTTCAGATCCCCATTCTCACACTACAGGGCGTGTCAGGCGCAGTTGGCCGACTGTGTCTGTCAGCCGCACCCTTCCTCTGGCCCCCCAAACTGGGATCTGTCAAGTTTTTCCGCCTGTTCCCCTCCAAGGGGGCTATTCTGGCAGTCTGCTTCCTGAGCTCGTTCGCTCTTGGCTCCCCCTACTCGTACTATGTATTGACAGTGGGGGTGGGAGTGTCTAGTGCAATTGCAGGAGCTCCTCTACTAAATGTGTCACAGGTAATTTACAACGTGATATCAAAATATACCCATCAGACAAAAAAAGAAGCAGTTTTACCTTTAATTTGATCATAGAATTGCTTTGAAGCGGGTGATTAGTTTCTAGTTTTTAGGGCAAATATTTGTTTGTACTTGGGAATGAGCCGAACCTTTGAGATTTGAGTATGGTTAATTAAAAGAATTTGATCAACAAAGTTGTATTTTTTTCAATTTTGCTTGATTTTCAGGAAAACTGAAAATTGTCAAGAGTAGCAGGCGGGGCAGGATAGTTCGCCTTTTAGTTCACATTGATTAACGAATGATTGAGCATTTAGACTAGTGGAAAGCATTTTCACTAGGCAATATGATGATTTCCGGAGCGATTCCCCTAGTCAATTAAATTTTGTAAAATTGGTCTGAATAAAAAGCCATCCCAAGCTTATATTGTCCTTATTTTCTTCGAATGTCGGAGCAATAACAAAGATGAAATTGAGGTAATTGATCTAATTGACGTAGTAGCTTTCAATGATTCAGTTGATCTTTGACTAAATACGGTCTAAACACAAATATTGGGCGTATGAGATCATGTGCAGAACTTTTGATATATGAATATCATTACTCAAAACCATTTGATATCCAAGAAAACTGAAAATGTATCTGAGGCAATCTTTTTCCTTGAGAAAAAAGTCTAATATCTAAAAACCACGTATCATCTTGAGTACCTTCAGCAGACAGATTATTTGCACCGCCGAAATTCAACAATCAATTCTAAATAACAATTGCTTGGGCAAATTTTCTATGAGACTACACAAAAAGAAGGCATCACTAATTTTTTGATTTTACAACTCTAATAGTTCTGACAACCCGCACCGGAATTTCATGGATAGAAATCTATTACGATGAAAACCTTTTGTTCAAAATTGTGTCGGTAGAACCCATTATTAGAGAGAAAAGAACCTAAAATCGATTGATTTTTAACAACAAAATTCATTAAGACCATTATAACCAAATATAATGGAACCTGATCTAAACTATATTTTATGATTGGATAAATTAAATGTTTTACCAATGTAAAGTATTTAATATTAACCAATCATGATCCATCTAACTAACAACCCACTTATTTGTAAGTGCTGAAGTTACTTGTAATTTCAGCACCAGAGAGATTTGAATTTAACTTAGAAATTAGTTGGACTCTCCCGAGCACTTCAGCAGCCGCAATAAACCAGTATACCCTAGATCTATTGAGCCTAGCAGAGACTAGTTAAACAACCTGAGACTAGATAGTATAAGAGTAAGATTAGGATCGGTATTAGACTAAGAAGTTGCACGAATCTATCCGGCCGAAAATAAGATAGCGTGACGAGCAGACGGTGTACCCTATCCGAAATTACTCTATGAGTTATACACCCCAGTCCTAACTCATCTGGTGCGACCATAAGTCTCGAACAAGACCTTACTAGATTAGAATTAACCAAAATTAGATTAGAAATTAGACAAAAACATTTACAAAATGTTATACGACAATAATTTAATTGAAATGTCTCTCCGACTCAATAGATCAGAGCCAATATTCCGAACCATAATAGAACTACCCGGAATTGGAAGAAGACATCGAACCAAAGACGACATACGACAAAGTAGAAACTTGCCGTATAGTTATATGATAGTTCGGCAAAAGCCAGAACAAACTTTTATATTTCGAATACTACTTGCAATGAATTTAGATTTCCATTTGCAAACATAAAACCTTGAAGTAAATCTTCAAAATCATTTCAGGCGCTAAACAAATTAATATTATACAATAACGATTGATAAAAAGATCTAAGATCGTTTTCCTAAAATTCTGCAGTATTATACAAAACATGTTTGAAGAATATTTATTGGAAAATAAAAATAAAAATTAGTAGCATGACAATAAATGGTTAGTAATCATAAATCATCCTGTTGTTCCAGCTTCATCACCTAAAACATAACAGCAATCATAAACCCACTAATATCATCAAAACACTAAATCTTTCCTTTACACAAATTTAAAACGTTATTAAAATTTAAAGTCACTTAATTTAAAATCAGATCATCAAGGCTTATCCTTGGATCTTAAATCATTTTCTACTTAATTAAATTTTAAATTTGATCATCAAGGCTTATCCTTGGATCAAACAGAACAACTTTGTTCTCCCCCACCCACTTAATTAGTGTCTAACGACCTCAAACGTCGATTCACTACCCAACCCTTTCTAAAAACCCAAGACTAATAGAAATTTTTAAACAAAACTAATCATTCAAATTAGGATAAACAGTGAAGAACTTCGGTTATTCATCCTTCACTTGACCCCTCCTCTTACCAGACCCAGGATAAATCTTAGACTTAGTAAGTTTAAAATAGTATCTAACGAACTACTCGCGTTCTAATTATACCTGAACCTTGTGGATCGATTTACTATTCTCCAACCCTTGAACACAATCACTACCCCTAAGTAAGATTAAGTAAGTTAACACCTTAGCTTATACTAGTCACGAGAAAGTAAAAATCATTCTTCGGAATCGATATACTTTTCTCTCCAACCCTGAACAACTAGACCCAGGTTAAGCTAACCAAAAAATCGTAAGAACTAACAGTTTAAGTCAATAGAAATCATTTAACAACCTTTTGCATCCGTCATTCTAAACCTTATGTCATTTAAAAACCTAGGAAATAAACAAACAATCATTTTACACAATTGTGAAATAGATAACAAAAAATACGACCTTGTAATCACACCTCATACACAAACAATTGGATACATTCGAACAAAACGACAAACACTAAAGAGAAAAATAATAACTAAACAAAGACAAATAACACGAAAAAGATTTTCAAAAAATCGAAACGCATTTTCAGAATCAGAAACCAACAGTTTAGACGAACTTTACAAACTAAAAGAATCAATAGATAAAAATTGCCCACAACACGATCAATTATATTTTTCTGACTCAGAAACAACTTCAAATTCATCACAAAGAGGAAAAAGAAGAATAAAAAAGCAGTATAAACACAAACCAGTACATCTATACAATTGGAATCAACCAATTCGACACATTAATAATTACATATTAACAGTCATCGAACGAAAAAATGAGTTCAACACACACCCCAGGTGACGAAACTCCAGATGACGATGAAATCTTTCCTTTTATAGTAGACGCAGATACTGATAGAGGACAACACATATTTTGTCAAAATTTACTCGTAAATTTATTTGAACCCGGAATCAGTCCATGTAAAACAGAGTTCCCCGATGTAAAAATCAAAAGACAAATCATAGATCACTATCTAAAAGATATATGCAACATAACACAACAGTATGGAATCTACTCTATAGAATTCACTTCCCCAAACCATAATAATAGAACATATACTATTCAAACAGACGACCTTGATTTAGAATTTTCAAAAGTTTTTTCAGAATATATAAAAAGCATCCAATACCATAACTCACAAAGAGCAAACTCCATTTTCACCAATGAAGTTTTCGCACTAATATATAGTTATATTTCGATATTAGAAAATGAACTCCCATTAACAAATGTCTCACCGACAGAAACATCTAAACATTTAAGAGTACGACATGAAATCACACTACTCTCTAGTTATTTAAACATCATTAAAGAAAATTTCACGAAAGACGACGTTTCACAACATACCAAACACGATTTACAAAAAATTTTAGCATGGTTCATAATAGATTATTTTACACACAATATTGATTTAATTGCACAAGCAAGAAAAAATTTTAGACCCCAAAATTCGAACGATGATACCGCTATCACAGAACAATCAGATTATGTTTGGGACCCCGAATGGTCTCATTCCGCATTTATAAACTTTCCACAATCAATCTCAAGTCAAGCAATAGGTACAATATCTTACATAAGAGATTATGTAAGAGTAATACCATTAACAATTGATGCAACACCATTAAACTATAATACATTTTTACCCGATACACAAAATAATAGTTTAAACTCTACAGTCATACACAATGAAAACCTCAATGGAACTAGGAATCTTACTCAACAAGATATCCAGACACCATCACACTTCATAAATGAAGAAATTGTACACACAACAACTACACAACAAAGTATTTCACCAATACGCCCAAATTTAACAACACCAAGAAATACAAATCCTTCACAAACACAGGTAACCTTACAATCAACCGTTAAACCTTCGGTTGCCCCTAAATATTCACATATGGATTACCAAACATACAAACCCATGACAATACCATCAAAAACACGCAAAACATTCACTAGAAACAACTTTGCAGACCATAATTATAATTATACACATCCATCAAAAACAAATTATCAACCACAAAGGAATTTTAATCAATATACAAAACCTCGAAACTGGGATAACCCAACGGCCCAATATAATTCCACAAATTTTCAACCAAATCCTCCACAGGATCGCAGTGGAAATTACCCATTTTTTCAACAAAATAAAAATAAAAAACAAACATCTTATCAAATGGATTATTTATCCTCAGATGAAGATTTCTTACAACCAGATATATTTGCACCAAATACTCAAGAATATCGTAGACAAGGAATACAGAAAACACGTACAAATCATAGAAATTTTTCTCCACAATCAATAGATGCACAACATCAACAACCAATTCAACAACAAAATCCAATTAATACACAATCTTTTCAACCAATTCAACAACAAAATCCAATGACTGCACACTCGTATCAAGCATCACAAATGCAAAATGAAATACCACTCCCATATTATCTTCAACAACATGAAATAACAAGAAACCAACTTTCAAATTTTTCTCAAATGCCAAATGCAGCAGAATCATTACAAATGACAATGAATCCATACCTAATGGGTGGATCATCAATAACATCAAACAAACCCTTAATGGTTTTCACAGGAACAGACCCTGAATACTCTGTAGAAGATTATTTAAACGCAGTAACAGCAAATTTAATTTTAAATATAGGACCTGAACCAATTAATA